TTTCTCATCTCAAGCGACGCCCAGTTTATTACCGGCACTAATCTGGTGGTCGACGGAGGCTTTGTCTATAATGTCGGTGCTCTCAACCAACTGTTTCAATGAAATGTATGACTATTTAATGTAGTATTCATTGAATGAATTTAATTAAAAGTTCTTGTTTAAAATATTTTATTAATTATTTCGTACAATAAATAAGTCTTTTGATAAAAAAAATCGATAGTTTTTCATAGTTTCAAAATTATATTAATCACTAAATTTTTTAAATTAATATATTAATCAATTTAATATTAATATAGAATATATTATATATTGTTACGGTACTAATTTATAATAAATAAGAAAATATTATATTAATTGTATGAACAACACTTAATATACGGAACTATAAAAATAATAACAATAAAATTAATTTCAAGATAATTATATTTTATACTATATTATACAAAAATTTATTTATCATAAATGTTATATGAATACAAAGTATTAAACTTTATAATTATTTATTTTATAATCCAGTGATTTGCGACTATAGTAGTTAAAATTATAAAATCTTTAGAGTATTATGTAATTATAATAGAGTTATATACTGAATGGTTATTTTGTTTTTGTGTATTACTTTCTGTTTTTTAATCAAATGCCTGAAAATTTGCGCATTTTTATCTACGTCACCCGGATTATAATAATAGCCATAATCCCATATTTTTACATACATTAACCATTACCGTTTTACAATAATTAAGGGCTCATTAAATAAGTACGTACGCACTGGGTGGGGGATCAACCAAGTCATGCGTATACAATGTTAAAGTCCTATGTACGAGGGGAGTGTCGGGGAGGGGGTCAATTTTTAGATAAATTTTTGCGTACGTACTTATTGAATGGCCCCTAAGTAAAATATAAAAAATAATAATAAACATATTAATAAATGAAATTATATAAAAGTTAAAACACAAATTAACATTATACTATTTTATGATATTAATCACAATTTTGATAATCACTTTTAATTAGAAATTTTAATCTAATGATTGAATAGCATTAGTATTATGTATTGAATTGTTTACACGACTTATCATTAGTGGAAACACCAGTTGACACAGATTTGAGCTTAAGGTACACACAATGTAATTGCATTCACTTAGCATTAGTACCTCGGTGATTATACTCCTAATTGATGATGCACTGTCCCTTGCAACATACATCATGCCTTGGTTTTTATTATACGATTTCATTGTCGCTTTCATATCGCCTTTAAATATAAATCCCTTTCCGATGTATGGCTTGATTTCGTTGAGCCATACGTTTGGCTCATCGGTCGCCAAATACACGAGTCGTTCACTGGTATTGCCATTCATTACATCCGTGTTATCGTAATACCGGTCCACATATGACATGTACTGATCGAGGGAATGGTATTTGGCTTCGTGTATGAGTTTGTCCGTCCGGCGCACATGTATGCCAACTATCGGGTGCTTAAACCCAACCCTTTGCCTATAATTATCGTAATATTCGCGTAACTCCTCCGACGGTCGCATCAGATATTGTAATAGAAATCCCATGAATAGCACAAATGGCTGAGTGGACAGGGATGTCAACTCAGTGGATATCTGCGTGGGTATCCACGCGTGTA